ATATATTTAATTAGAAAATCTTTTTCTAACCTTCACACTGAAGTAATATCTATCTTTGATGTTAAGATGTGTTTTTTTGTATACAGCAGAATAATAGATTCTGCTTCTTATACAAACTGGTAGCATGTCTTTTTATTGGCAAATTAAGATCATTGAGGGTTATTAGTGACCAGTCATTATTAATACCTGTTATTAGTGGTTGTGTGTGTGTGTGTGTGTGTGTGTGTGGTGTGTGTGTGCACGCGCATGTGTGTGTGTGTGTGTATGTGTTTATGTATTTCCCTCCTTTGGGTTTTGCTGGTGTAAGATTATATTGCCTTCTTGTACCTTTATAGGAACGCCCTTATTTAGGAGGGACAATTTTTCTTCTATGATTTTGTTAAATATACTCTCTGAGTTTTTGAACTGGCTTTCTTCTCCTATTCCTATTATTCTTAATTTTGGTCTTTACACAGTATTCCAAATTTCCTATAACATTTGCATTAGAAATTTTTTAGATTTAACATTTCCTTTGACTAAAGAATCTACTTCCTCTGTTGTGTCTTCAACATATAAAATTCTCTTTTCCATCTCTTGTGTTCTGTTGATGATACTTGCATCTGGAGTTCTGGTTGGCTTACCCCTGTTTTTCATGTCTAGGATTCCCTATGTTTGTTGTTTCTATTTCTATTTTCAGGTCTTGAGCAGTTTCCTTCACCTGTTTGCTTTTCTTTGGCTTTCTTGTAAGGATTTATTGATTCCTTCCAAATTTTTGCTTGTCTTTTCCTCACTTTCTTTAAGGGATTTCTTTCTTATCTTCTTTGAGGCCCTCTATCATCTTCATAAGGTGATTATGAAGATCTAAAGTGTGGGATAGTTGGGCTCTGGTGATGCCATATTACCCTTTCTGTGATTGTTTTGACACATTTATGCATCTGGATTTGGAATGATTATAGATCTAGTTGTTGATTTCTGCATTTGTCTTTGTTGAACAAGTGTTTTGTTCATTGGTTTCTCTTTCCTCTCTGGTCTTTTGTTCTAAAGGTCCAAGGGTTCTGGTGACTAGCATGTCTTCTCCAGTAGGGTGTTCCTCCCTGGGGTCCCTAGATATTGCCTGGCCTCTGGTAATATGAAAGTTTACTTTTAAAGTTGTGGACCAGGTAAAGGAGCCAGGGTATGTGTGTGTGTGTGCACGCATGCGCGCTCTTGCAGTTTGGAATTGTTGGCCATGGTTAAAGGGGTTTTTGTGGGCTGTGTTTTGTGGTGTCTTACATGGTGTTCCTAGGACCAACCTGACCTCCTCTAAGGCTACCTGGCTCTGGGCCCAAGTGTGGAGCCCAGGGAAAAGAGTGTAGCCTGGATTTGCTTTAAGGAGTGTTAGCAGACAGGGGTTGTTGTCCTACCTAGGATCCCTAGATGGGGCCTAGCCCCTGCCAAAGTGGAAGTATTCTCATGTTGTAGAGCAAGATATGGAACCCAGGGGACTAGGGAGAGGTATGACTTTATTGGAGTTGGTATGGTTTTGTTAGAGGAAGTGTGTCACTGTGTGGGGTGGGCTTTGAAGTTTCCTATGCTCAAGATACCATTCAGTGACACAGTTCTGGTTGCCTTTCAATCAAGATGTAGCCAGCACCATGACTGCCTGCACATCATGGTGCTTCTTGCCATGGTATTGGATTGAACCTCTGAACTGTAAGCTCCCACACTTCAGTTCAATGCTTTCCTTTATAAGAGTTGCCGTCATCATGGTCTCTTCACACAAACAGAAACCCTAACTAAGACACTACTGAAATCTATATTCTACTTCCTTGTAATCACTCCCTACTCTTTTACGTGAAGATAGTGACTTCTCAAGTTTGTTCTTCTCAAACATCTACCAGGATACTTCAAGCAGAAATCTATTGAGTACTCCCTCAATTTTCTTCATCCAGTCAACCCTAAGTCCTATATACTGACATGTTTCCATATCTGAAGCCATTCTCACCATGTACCAGGCTAGTGAAAACGTCTACTAAACCAGATTCCTCTCTTTTGTCATTCTCTTTTCCAATACACTATTCAGAACAGCCCCCATTCTAATCTAAACACTCTTGGCACTGGTCCACTTAATATCACAAATTACATACAAATACATGTGGTAAGTCTTGATTAATAATATGATTCAATAATATGGTTTAAACATGACTTTTAAGAGCACTTTTAATATGCCTAATATCTTTAGCTTCCTCAATTTCACTAATCATTAATATATATCATCAAATGTAAGGCTAGGAGGAGCCTTGGCTGGAGAAAGGCTCAGCATTTCTGAGCATCTGTTGTTCTTGCAGAGGACTAGAGTCTGGGTGTCAGTAGCCTCATCTGGTAGCTCACAACTTCCTCACTGGCATGCCAAGAGATTTGCTTCCATGGTGAGTCTACATCCTGTCAACTTGACAATATTAAGCATTGCACCGCCATGGGTGTTGTGTACACAGTATAGAAGATCACAATGTAGAGAACTGAACGAAAGAGTACAGATGGTTGCCTCTCTGCACTATGGACCAGGGAATGGGAGGGATGGTTGCCTCTCTGCACTGTGGACCAGGGAATGGGAGGGATGGTTGCCTCTCTGCACTGTGGACCAGGGAATGGAAGGGTTGGTTGCCTCTCTGCACTATGGACCAGGGAATGGGAGGGATGGTTGCCTCTCTACACTGTGGACCAGGGAATGGAAGGGTTGGTTGCCCCTCTGCACTATGGACCAGGGAATGGGAGGGATGGTTGCCTCTCTGCACTATGGACCAGGGAATGGGAGGGATGGTTACCCCTCTGCACTGTGGACCAGGGAATGGAAGGGTTGGTTGCCCCTCTGCACTATGGACCAGGGAATGGGAGGGATGGTTGCCTCTCTGCACTGTGGACCAGGGAATGTGAGGGATGGTTACCCCTCTGCACTGTGGACTAGGGAATGGGAGGGATGGTTGCCCCTCTGCCCTGTGGACCAGGGAATGGAAGGGTTGGTTGCTTCTCTGCACTATGGACCAGGGAATGGGAGGGATGGTTGCCTCTCTGCACTATGGACCAGGGAATGGGAGGGATGGTTGCCTCTCTGCACTGTAGACCAGGAAATGGGAGGGTTGGTTGCCTCTCTGCACTATGGACCAGG